GGGCAAAGGTTACACCCAATTTAGTGGAAAAAGAAGAATATTATAAGACTTTAATAAGCCAAATTGTTACTGATTTAAAAAAAGATCTTCAAACTCCAGGAAAGGGGTGGTAGAAAAATTCTTGATGAAATAGTTAAAATCACGAGAAGGATGGCAAGCTCCATATTTGAAATAACTAATTCAAAAGCTGTGATAAGAACTGGTATTTCTAGTTAGTCTTGAACTCATCCACTTTATGTATCTCGTGATTTTCCTCAGCAATTCTGCAAAATTTTAAAAAATTTAGATAAGGATAAACTTTTTAAAATTATTGATAAAAAGTTTACTGCTGCTGAAGCTGACAAAATCAAAAATGCTTTTAAAAGGATTATAAATTGATCTTTTAGAAGGACTTGAACTAATCAGTTTACTGTCAGACGTGTTTTAAATGTGGGTGCAGATAATAGAAGGTTAAGTGAATATGTTGAAAATTTTTTCTTTTTTAGTGATCTTCTTTATTTTATGCATAAACTTTTCCCTCAAGATACTATTGATTGATCAACTAATGAATTTCTTCAAACAGATAATGCTAGTTATTTGTCTTTCAAAGATGGTTATAGTTTAGATAAAAAGTTTGAAATTATTTGATTAGGGCGTGATGCTGATATTAGAGATAAGCTATTTCCTCAAGATAATGTATTAAATATTGAATTACATAGTAAAATATGAAGATTAGCTTGAGCAGATAGAGGATTGTTGAGAATTTTTTGAGAAATTTACAATGATCCAAGTGCAACTGATTTTACTGCTTATGAAGAAATTTTAGACAAAGATGGAAATACTATAAATGGATTGGCAGTGAATGCAGCAAAAGAAATGCAAAAAGAAGCAATATTTCACTTTGAAAAAGATTTAGATGTTTATCCAATGCGTCATCATCTTGTTTATTTACATGAAAATTCCTATTGACAACATGCTGAAGAATTAATCAAAGACAGATTTAGTACTTTTCTTGATGCTGATGGTAAACCTGAATTTAAATTTGATAGTCATGTAACTGAATGGCAATCAGTTCTTGAAAAAGTTACAAATGCAGTAATTGGTACTTGACAACCTATTAAAGAAGAGCTGAAGAAAACTACTTATGATCAATTAGTGAAATGAGCTGATGCACAAGGCAGAACAACATGGAATTCTCCAACTCCAGTTAAAATTAAAGACAAGGTAGTTAACAGGAATATTATTGATTTATGAGATGAAATGGAACAGCTTGCTCAGACTAGAATAGATAATTTTACTCCTATTAAAGAAGAAATAGGCAAAAAACTTATTGAACTATCTTCCTTAGATTCTAAAGTATCCAAAGCTCAACAAGAACTTAATAATGTTAAAAAATTAGAAAAAACAGCTAGAGAAGGGAAAATGCAAGACTTGAAAGATACCTTTAATGAAATCAATAATAAATCTGGAGTTAAGAGTTACAAAGAAGTGCTATTTTTGAGAAGCATTTTAGGTTTAGTAGAAAAATGACAAAATGAATATCCTGATTTATATCCAGCTATTCTGACTGGACCTGATGCATTTGATGTAACTGCTTTAAAAACAGCTTTAGATAATGATGAAAAAGCATTAAGAGGTAATTTTGCTGAGTATTATTCTTGAACAAGTCTGGGAAGTGATTTTGCTGAGAGATTAGATGGTTGGAAAAAAGCTAATAGTGAACCTTGACACAATAAAGTAGCAGTAAGAGCTCATTTGAAAACTTTGAAGTCTGCTTTAGAAGGTATAGAAACAAGAATTATATTAGATCCAGTTGAGAAAAATGAGTTAGAAGAAATTGAAAGATATTTAGCAGGAACTCCAGTACCAATTGAGAAAAGAATTCTTCCTAGTGAACTAAAAAATGCATTGAGGATTGTAGAGTTTAATATTTTTTGTGAAAATGCTCAAAAATGAATTGACTATTCAAAAAATGTTGATTTTAAAACCAATGCTAATGAAATTAAAAATATTGCTGACAAAGTTAATGGAGCAAGCAGTAAAATCAATAAAGCTGAATTAGTTAAATACTGTAAAGAAACTCTAGCTAAAAAACCTGAATTAATAGATGATACTTATGGTCTTCCCCAAGCTAATGCTAACAATCAAGAGTGATTAGATTGATTCTTTACTCGGGATCCTGAAGTAGTAATACATACTATTGCTTTACAAGAATTAAAAGTAGATAGTAAGCTTAAAGAACAAATCCTAAAAGAGATGGAAGATTACAAAGATGGCGACAAAAGGTTAGATAAATCTAAATATAGGGATGGGAAAGAATTTACTGAAGAAGGAATTGTTAAGTACTATGCAGAAAAGTTAGGTGGACAAAATCATGCTAAGAAGTAATATGAAAAGTCTTTTGAGAATAATAAACAAGAAGATTTTTGAAGAATTAATAATCCTTCTGCTTGAGTAGCTTAAGAAGGAATTCTTTTATTACTAAGTGATCTTGGTTGAGCCATCTGGAAAAGAAAACTCCTGGCTCAATGATGAAACTCCCCTGCTGAACTAGAAGAAGATGATGATGAAGATTATGATTAATAATAATTTAATTATTTATTCTACCAGTCTTCTTTTCTTTCTTGGTTTATCATAAGTTATTGTTAAGGTTCATTTATTATTTATTATTTTTCGTTCTTCCTGGTAAATTTCATAAGTGATTTTTTCTTGATTTAAATATTCTTGGAGAGTTTAGGTATTATTGATTTTAAAAATATAGGGAGCAATTTTTTCACCTTGTTCTTTTTTCAAGATGCTTCTAATAGTACTGTAATTCTTGGATTTCATAGTGGATTTAATGTAAATTAGTTTTATATTATAATTTTATATAGAGATAATCCTATATTAATCCTGTTATGATTTATAATCATCCTATTTTGGTATAATAAAGGGAGCATTAAAATTAACAAGGTAAAACATCATCAGTCACACTGATTAATTTTACAGTCACATCATAATCAGCCTTTCATTTATGTCACATAGTCAAATGTTCACTTTGTCTGGTTTTGTTGCAGCATGCCTCATATTATATTTGGTATTATATATATTAGTTTAATAAATAATATATTAAATTGTTACTAACATCTGGTGAAGAAAAAATATAATACATTTCGCACTAACATATAAACTATAAGATATCAGCATTTAACACAATCAAAAAGCCAATCATCGATCTCTAGAGCACTACATAATATATTACTAAGTTCTTGCATTAAGAATTTTATAATATCCATCAATTTCTTGTACAAGTAACTTGGTTATTCTTTCGAATTCTTATATAAATCTATCATTTTCTGCATTTTCTTTCAATAAAGATACTTCTAACTCAAATATCCACCTAATCCTATTTATTGCATCTCTATTTTGTTCAAAGTCTTGATATCGATTAATGATAATATGAGAATTACTTATAGATATCATGAATATACTGATAGTTCACGTATACCTATTCCAAAAATCATTGTGTATGCTGATTTGCTAATAGTAATCCATATCAAAGAAGATAAATGGATAATCATGTCGGCACTTTGTAAAGGCAAAGCGAGGAAAGAAATCTAATGCTGAACTGGTTTTCTTCACAATAAGATGCTTGCATATTGAAAAGTGATTATTTAGAAATGCAAGACATAAATATATCCAAGTTTCTAGATATGTATTATATATTTCTTCCTCACTAATTGATTTTTGGCTAAGCTCTAACCATTCTTGTTTGAAAGTATTCTACCAGGTGAGAAATATACATCCATTAAGATAAAATACTACTATATCCTTCATGTCTTTAACTAGTTATTGTGTTAATATTTGAGTTAGTTAATTGAGACGTAGGCAATTGTAATTGTACTTATAATTATACTTGAGTACTTTCCAATGAGACTTAGTAATCATTATTGTCCAAGTGATTGGCATTGTATTGGCATATGAGGTATGGACGAATAACTGTTAATTCTTATGATTATACCAATTATATCAAAGATATCCCCATACTGTAGCATAATTTTTTTGTCAGTAGTATTGATAAGTCTCTTGAGTATAAAGTATATATAGTTCTGAAGATATGAGGAATTGATCTGTATCAAAAGATATCAAAGGATGCAAAAAAGTATGCTTTTTTATTATTTACAATATTTTTTTAATTTTCTCTTCAGCGTATTTGCAGATTTCTTGACCTCTAGGAAATCATGTTGGATTGATAAAGCTAAATTGTTAGTGAGCTTTGCTAGATTTCTTAGCTGTATATTGACTTCTATAAAATTTTTGCTCACTTAATTTTTTTTTTATAGCATGCTTAATATATCATAAACAAAGCTGAATATTTAGTATTCATGACCAAGCTTCTTATATTACTACTATCTCTCTAGCATCTTTATCCAGTAATATAAAACTTGACTGAATACTCTCATTTCGTAATACTTCAAAGAATTCTTGTAAGGTACCAGTACGTATATTTATTGTATTTGCTAGATCAGATGCTCAGTCTTCTGATATGATATAAATATCTAGGAAAAGATATGCTAGAGGTATACCATATCCATCACAATTATTATTTACAGCAAATAATTCAAATTTTTGCTGGTTTGTTTTGAATGTTGAGTTCACAATAAGCTCCGTGATATTATCTTTTTCAATCTTATTCATGAAAGATATAATAAATCTTAGACTACGAATAAAATCATTTTCAAGATAGAAAATAACTTTGAACTCTTCACGTTAAAGTGTATTCTGCTCAATGAAGTTCTTTATGGATTTTAATTGATTTACTGTATTGGTTACGTATTACTACTTTGAGAATTGTATAACCTAATAATATACCTATTAGTAGATATGTATTTTTCTATCTATTAATTTTTCTCTGTGAAGTTATTTATAGATTTCACTTTTACGCAAACTGTAAATCACATTTTTCTTGATTCATGCTTTGACATTTTCTGATAGATTGGATCTGTGATATGTGAGATATATATATTTTTCAAAATGTTGAATAGTCAACAAAATTCGTTCTTTATCGAGATTAATTCTGGCTGTAATTGAACTCTCACAATTAAATTTTTGAATTGCAGATTTAACTTCGCTGATATGCTTAACTGGCTAATCTCTTGATTACTTGAATCAATGTTCTCTTTGTTAGCTGTAGCAAAGATAATATGTCGCACATCTCTTTTGCTAATCATTTTTAGTATGTAAATAGAAATATCCAATTATCTAATAATATCTGAAAAGTCTCTTGAGAGGATCAAAAAGACCATTAAGAATATGTTAATAGGTTCCCTTCTTGTCAAATGCAGTCTGAGTACTAGTAAAATGCATGATCGTCTCTTTGATAAGATCAGAGTCCAAAGTAACTTCTACAGAAAACTTTATAATTTTATCTTTGGCTTCATAATCATGGAACTGTGTGATCATTACTTTCTCCAGATCTTCAATCTCATATAATAGTCCATTATATTTCTCTTCTGAATTATCAGCTATACTCTCATAGTTATTTTTTGTATTGCTATTAGAGGATACTATTTTATTAGAAGATGTAGCTTGATCTCTACATCTTTTTTCAGCACATACATTGTATACAGAAAAGATTTTCATTTGGCTTCCTTTCACTTGAGTGAATTCTCTAATCAACCTATTACTTTAATATTGAGTACATCTTTTCTCCTCAACATTACCAACAACTAAGAAAAAGAATTTCTGTTCAGATCTGACATAGATTTTTATTTGACTTGCAAAATATTTCTAATACTATTAATATACCATTAATTTCATTATTTATGACTGACATTTTATTCATTTTATTTTTAGAAAGTAATCTGATGAGGTTGTGGAATTCTTATGTAGGTCATGATGTTTGATCTTTAGCAAGATTTTATTTATCCTTGATGCATCATATCATATCTTGTCGTGTTATTATATTATACATTATAATATAGGTAAATATTATATTTAGCAAGATTTGTGAAAAATGAAGGATTTTATTAAATGAGCTAATTTTTATTTATTCTAGAAGTTATTAGTATTATTACAGTAGTAATTAGACAAATTCGGTATTACTTGTAGATTTAATTGGAAAAGAAAAATATATTTATTAGATACTACATCTATACTACAAGTATTATTTAACAAAGGAGTTACAAAAAAAATAAATTTGTGAACAGGTAAATATTTGGTATAATTAATATGTTTTATTAATTTATTTCTAATCACAATCGTTACTTTTTCTAATCAAAGATCTTGTTTTATATTTTACATTAAAGTACTTTGATCAATCAATAAAGATCTTAATAGAAATAATATTTAATTATCTTTTTTTCAAGTCTTAATAATCAAAGATATCAGAATGATGATAATTATAGTTAATTATCTGACCGATACTAATTTCTTAATATGAAATTAAGATTTGTTTGGCGCTGTTTCATATATAATTTTTTTGACAAGTTCTTTTGATTTCAGTTCTTGATTTATCATTTGGATTTCCTGGTAGTGATGAGAAATCACCAGTATGATGAGAACTTTTCTGATCAGAACGTGTATTTCTATCTTTACCAGGTAATTCAAGCTTCCTTTACCATTGGATTAACTTCATGTTTTGTATTGGTGAGTAATTTTTTACCTTTGGAATTTATTTTTTTTTTATTTCTCATTAAACCAGTATTTCCTCTTTCAGCAAGCAAGTCTTTAATTATCAAAGATATCAGAATGATGATAATTGTAATTGATAATCTGATTGATACTATTACTTGGTGATTCTATATCTTTTTATTAACAAGTTTCTTCGACTTTAATTCTTGGTTTATCATTTGAGTTTCCTGGTGGTAGTGAGAAATTACCAGTATGATGAGAACTTTTCTGACTAATCATCTTTTTTCATAGTTATCTTTTTTCATAGTCACCTTTTTTGAGTTTCTCAATTACTAATTATGATGGAGTTCTTTGATGGTGATTGCAGAGAGAATTATGGATTCTGCTGATTTTAGAGATGATTCAAATTCAGTATTAGAATAATAGTAAATGAGATGTGTGAGTTTAGAAGAAGATGTGCTATATTTTATTTATAACTCGTTCATTTGCGTAAATTTAAATAATTGATCCAGAAAGTATCATAATATATACATAACATAAATGCAAATATTCTTTTTTGGAAGGATAAAAGCTATTTGATTTAAATAGAACAAAAATGTTTTTCATTCAAATCAGAAAATCAATTTGTTAATCAAAAAACTTTTATTAAGTAATCTAAGCTTTCTTTACCATTAGATTATCTTCATATTTGTACCAGTAAGTAATTTTTCATCTTTGGAATTTATTTTTTTTTTCATTCCTCATTAAACTGATATTTTCTCTTTCAGCAAGCAAGT